CCCTGTGGACTTCTGTGATTCTTCCTGTTCTGGAGCCAGTGATTTTTAAGTTATTCCTCTTCATGTTATACAGCATGAATCTTAGACTCTCTTCAGATTTTTTAATCCTTTTTTTCTGTTTGCTCTTCTATCTTAGCAGTATTGAGAGATTTGTCTTCCAGCTCACTGGTTCTAGCTTCCATCTCTTCCATTCTACTCCTTTGCCCTTTCAGTGTATTGTCCGTTTCTGATATTTTATTATTAATCATCTGGACCTCTTTTTGCAGGTTTTGGATCATTTCCAATGCTGTAGTGATCTTATTTGATTGCTCCTGTAGCACTTTCCTGACTTCTTTATCTTCCTTCACCCCTTTTTGGAGCATTTGAATTTGTTTCCATATAATTCTTCTGAATTCCTTGTCAGGCAGATCCAGAGTCTGCTCTTCTACTGGAATGTCTATGTCTGCTTCCAGCTCATTTGTCTCCGTTACTTTTTTCTGGTTTTGTACATGTTTTGAGATCTTGAATTGTGTTTTCTTGGACATGTTCAGCAGTTATGTGGGTTTTAAATTTTTAAATGGATGTATGTTGCTTTGTTGTTAAGCTTGCTGAGAGTCTCCTGGTGGGTATGATCTGAATATAGGCTTCCCTTTTTACATGTAATGCCTAGCAGCTGGTTTTGGCTCTTGACCAGATGATGGGGTATTACGGGGTATGCTTGTAGCTTGGCTATATGGGCACAATTGCTGCTCTTCTTGGGTAAGGTAGGGGCAGAAATCTCCAACCCCTGGGAGAAGAGTGAGGCCAAAAGTACCAAGGACAGAGACCATATAAAAGTAGAGACAGAAACCACCAATCAAAAACAAAAATAAAATTGTGATTGACACTGCCCACTGGCCTTTGCTATGCAGGCAGGGATAAAGGGTACCACCAGGTAAACTTTGGGCCTGGATCCCAGAATCAAGACTTCATAAGATGCAGCCTGCGGGTGTCCTCTCTGTGCCATTGGAGAACTGTGGGTGCTATGCAGGATACTTTTGGGTATGTGCTTCCACCCACCTAAAGGCATCTCAGCTGGGCAGTGAGGGCGCGATTGTAGTGAAGAGGAAAGATATGTCAAAAATGAATAGTGAAAGATGAAAAATCGGTCACATCTCTCCCTCCAGATGTGCAGCTCCATGGCTTCTAGTACTGGGTCACTGCCCCTCCCTCCAGCCTGAGGACTTCTGACTGCTGGACACCATGGCTGGATCGATTCAGAAATCACCGTATTTTGCTTCCACATGCAGATTTTTTTCACAGGTGGGCACAGGAAACTGTTACCCAGAACCTTAAACAAGATTCAAAGTTCCACAGCTGTTCTGTGGACCACTCTTTCCTGCTTTTTTGGGGTTTGGGTGGAGGAGCTTTCAATATCTGTCTCTGCTTAACTGCCCCCAAACCAGAAGTCCCTGTAAAGATTTTTTGAGGCTGTAAATCTTTATGTGAACAGAAAACCTCATCTTTCCCCTTTGGATTTACTGGTATATTTGAACTACTGACCTTGTGGTTGGCAGCCCAGTTCATAATCCACTATGCTACCAGGACACTCTCTATCTTTATCTCTATCTCTATTATCTATTGTTGTTGTTGTTGTTAGGTGCCATCGAGTCGGTATCGACTCATAGTTACTCATAGAACAAAACACTGCCTGATCCTGGGCCAACCTCACTACTGTTGCCACACTTGAGTCCATTGATGCTGCCACTTGGCCAATCCATCTCATTGGGGGTCTTCCTCTTTTTAGCCGACCCTCCACCTTACCAAACATGATATCCTTCTCGACTAGTCTATATCTATATCTATCTATCTATCTATCTATCTATCTATCTATCTATCTATATGTCTATATGTCTATATGATAGAGAGACAGAGTTGTGTGCCAGGGTTGTATTCTTTCACCATACTTATTCAATCTGTATGCTGACTAAATAATCCAAGAAGCTGGATTATATGAAGAAGAATGTGGATTGGGATTGGAGGAAGATTCTTTAACAGCCTGTGATATTCAGATGATGCAAACTTGCTTGCTGAAAATGCAGAGGACTTAAACTACTTACTGATGAAGATCAAAGACTACAACCTTCAGTATGGGTTGCACCTGAATGTGAAAAAAAGCAAAGCAAAATACCACACACATACAGAAAAAAATTCCTCAGCACTGGACCAATAAATAACATCATGGAGAAAAGACTGAATTTGTCAAAGACTTCATTTTGCTTGGATCCACTATTAACACTCATTCAAGCAGCAGCCAAGAAATCAAATGACATGTTGCATTAGGCAAATCTGCTACACAAGACCTCTTTAAAGTAACCAAGAGCAAAGATGCCAGTTTGAGGACTAAGTCATGCGACCCAAGTCATGGTATTTTCAATAGACCCATATGCATGTGAAAGTTGGACAGTGAATAGGAAGACTGTAGAAGAATTGATGCATTTGAGTTATGGTGTTGGAGAAAAATATTAAAAGTACCATAGACTGCTAGAAGAACAAACAAATCTATGTTGGAAGTGTTCCAGCCAGAATGCTCTTTAGAAACCAGGATGGAGAAACTTCATCTCTCATACTTTGGATATATTATCAGGAGAGACCAGTCCCTGGAGAAGGACATCATACTAGGTTAGAGGGTCAGTGAAAAAGAGGAAGACCCTCAAGGAGACAGATTAGCACAGGGGCAGCAGCAATGGACTCTAGCTTAACAATGATTGTGAGGGTAACACAGGATCGGACAGTGTTTTATTCTGTTTTGTGGAGTGGGGTTTGGGTTTTAGAAAACCTGCCTTAGTCTGGTCAATGTCCATCTTTATCTCTTCTAACAGATTTTGTCTTAAAGTCTACTTTCTCTGATATTAACATTGCCACCAAGCTTTCTTTTGATAAGTATTTGCAAGGAATATTTTTTTCAGTCTTTTAATTTTCAACCTATTTGTGCCCTTGGGTCTAAGGTGTTTCTCTTGGAAACAGTTATCACGTTTTGTTTTGTTTTTATAATCGATTCTGCTACTCTCTGCTTTTTATTGGGGCATTAAACCCATTTACATTCCGTATAATTATGGATAAGAAGTGACTTGTTTTTGCCATTTTACTATTTGAGTTTTGCTGTGTTTTTAACCTTCATTTCTGGTTGCTTTTGTTTGGTTGGTTTACTGTGTGTCAATAAATAACCAATATGCATCTACATCAAAACAGGCCTTATTATCATTTGCATTGGCTTTTGCCAAGGCCATGGGAGGGGCACCTACCAATGTGTTCACCTGCTCATGTGTTTTGGTAAAAATTGAAAAAGTGATACTGTGCTTTTAATAGCTTAATTTAGGTAAAATAAATGAGATATAAAATGATAAAATTGACTCATTTAAAATTACAATTGACTAGCTGTAGGATGATTGCCTTTATCTAATTATAGAACTTTTGCATCACCCCACAAAGAAACCGTGTACCCATTAGCAGTCACTCCCCATTCACATTTCCCCAGACACTCACAACCACTAACCTACTTTCTGTCTCTAGGACTTTGCCTATTCTAGACACTTTATATAAATGTTGCTGTTGTTAAATGCTGCCCAATAGGTTTCAATTCATAGTAACTCTATGCACAGCAGAAAGAAATACTAGTTATGTACCATCCTTAAATCGTTGTTACACTTGAGCTTATCGATACTGCCAGTATACCCATCCATCTTATTGGGGGTCTTCATCTTTTTTGCTGATCCTGCACTTGACCAATCATGATCCCTCCTGATAATATATATGTCCAAATTATGAGAGATAAAGTCTCACCATCCTTGCTTCTAAGGAGTATTCTAGTTGTACTTCTTCCAACACAGATTTAATAGTACTTTCAATATTCTTCTCCAACACCGTAACTCAAATGTATCAATTCTTCGACTATCTTCCTTATTTGTTGTCCAACTTTCACATGCATATGAAGCCATTGAAAATATCATGGCTTGGGTCAGGCACAACTTAATCCTCACACTGATATCTTTGCTCTTGAATATTTTAAACAGGTCTTGTGTGGCAGATTTGCCTAATGTAATAGGTCATTTGATTTCTTGTCTGCTGTTTGCATGAGTGTTGTTAGTGGATCCAAGCAAAATGAAGTCTTTGATGGTCTTTATTGATCCAGTTGTAAGGATTTTTGCTTATTTACTTTAAGGTGCTATCCATACTGAAGGCTGTGGTGGTTGATCTTCATCAGTAAGTGTTTTAAGTCCTCTTCACTTTCAGCATGTAAGGTTTTATCATCTGCGTATCACAGGTTGTTAATGAGTCTTTCTCCAATCTTGATGTTATGTTCTTCTTCATAAATTGAGCTTTTTGGCTTATTTACTCAGCATACAAATTGAATAAGTATGGTGAAAGAATACAGCTCTGGCTGTATTTCTGATTTTAAATCATTCAGTATCCCTTTGTTCTGTATGAATGACTGATTCCTGGTCTATTGTACAAGTTTCTCATGAACAAAATCAAGTGTTCTAGAATACCCATTCTTTGCAATGTTATAATAGCTTGTCATGATCTACACAGCATTTGACTAGTCAATAAAGCACAAGTAAACATTTTTTCTGATATTCTCTGCTTTTAGTCAACATCCATCTGACATCAGCAATTGTTTCCTTAGTTCCATTTCCTCTTCTGAATCTGGCCTGAGTTTTTGGTAATTTCCTGTTGATGTATAGCTGCAGCTATTTTTAAATTATCTTCAGCAAAATTTTGAAATTATTTTTAAATGATCTTCAGCAAAATTTCTTAATCTATTTACATAAACAGAATCATACAATGTGTGACCTTTTGTGACTACTTCTTCCACTTAGCATAATGCTCTCAAGGTTCATTCATGTTGTATCATGGATCAGAGCTTCATTCCTTCTAATAGCTAGACAATATGAGGGGATTATAAAGAGTTTGTAGAAAAATGTAATTAAAAAATAATGGAATTTTTTTCTATGAACTTTTTGAAGTCCCTTCATATTCCATTATAAGGAAATACCACATTTTGTTTATCCATTTATCAGTTGGTGGACATTTGGGAAAAATATCATCTTGTAACTACACTCAGTGAAGACTGGTAGTTCTCTTGACTCTGGCTTCTCTTCCACATGCTCCCTCATGGCAGGTGGCATTTCTTCCTCCTGAGGAGTGCCTAATGCATTTGAACCACCACCTTTCTGTTAGCAGCTGAACCCTTTAACTACTGTGTGACCACTAGAACCAGAAATATATGGGTGAAGGGCAAGAAACAAGATGAGAAATATGCCAAACCAGAAATTAGTCTATGAAAAATTCTCCCAGCCATTAAATATAGACACTCCACTGAGTCTATGTTTGATGATGCAGTAATATGTCCAACAATACAACATATATCATTATCAACATAGATCTTGCTTCTTTTAAAATGTGAATCCTGAGAAAGAGTTTACCAGCATTCCCATAGCTAGAACCCAAACCCAAAGTTGTGTTACAAGCAGCAAATAAAAACATCTCTTGCTCTTGGGGTAATTCCAGCTCATAGTGACCCCGTGTGTGTCAGAACAGAACTGCACTCCATAGGATTCCCAATGACTGGTTTTCCAGATCACCAGATCATTCTTCAGAGGTACCTTGGATGGACATGATCCTTCAGCTGAGCATGTTAACTGTTGACTCAGGGCCTCCATCAAGCAACAAATACGTGCATGAAATCCTGTGTGCCATGCATCCTAACTTTCAGTAGTGGGCAATGGTGGCTCAGTGGTAGATTTCTTGCTTTTCAAGCAGAGGCCCAGGTTGGATTCCTGGCTAATATACCTCAGGTACAATCATCACCCCTCTGCCATTAGAAGCTTGTATGGTCCGATAATGCTGAACAAACTTCAGCAGCACTTCTAGACCAAGATAGGCCAGGAAGAAAGGCCTGGTGATCTAACTTCTAAATAGCAGTCAGTGAGTACCCTATGAATCACAATGGCTTGTTCTAAAACCCATTGTGTGGATATTGCAGACTGGGCAATGAGCTAGCATCCACTAACAACAATATCTCTCAGTAACACAAAGAACTGTCCATCAACCATCCCATAATAAGACATCCCAAGTAGGTGAATTTCGAGAACAAAATTTTATTTTCTCACAGTTCAGGAAACTGAAAGTTCAAACCAGGGTTTTAGACATGTGGATTTCTTTCTTGTAGGTGGTACTAGCCATTCCCTGGCTCCCTGGCTGGTGGACAATTTTCATAGGGCATGTGTGTGTGTGTGTCTGTGTGTCTGTGTGTATGTGTGTATTGCCTCTGAGTCTAGTCTACTCTTTTAATAACACAGAAGTGGTTAGGTTTAGGATACACTCTACACTATTAACAGCCTCATTCACATAAAGGAAACCCTATTCCCAAATAGAATTGCATCCAGTACATATTTGGGAAGAAACAATTCAATCCACAAGAGGGGCCATATGGTCTATGTTGCAGCATGAAAGCAGTCATAGATGATATGCAAATGAACGAGCATGAAGGTGCTCCAATGTAACTGAATTTACAAAGGCAGGTGGCAGGTGGAGCTGGCCTGCAGGCCAACGCTAAGCTCCATGAGGGCAGGGCCACTGCACCGCTCAGAGCAGATGAGCTAGCTGTGTGTCTCTCCATCTGCATCTTATTTCCTCTTTCTCTGTCTTCCTCTACCCAGGAGACCTCACTCGACTTCAGCTTTTCAGAAATGTAACTACAGCTCCAGAGCGAGGAGTCAGGCAAGGAAGAGCAATCAGCTAATTGGCACAGCTCTCACAAGGCACTTGGGCAGCAGAGAGATCTCAACACTTAATGCAGCCTTACTGTCGAGGCTTAACACCATCCTGGGAGAAGCATTAACATGCAGAGGCCCATGCTACTCAGCCAGTAGGAGAAATAAAAGTGAAATGCTGCAATATGAATGGAGTTTGAGGACATTATGCAAATTGAAGTAAGTCAATCACAAAAGGACAAATATCACATATCTTCTCTTATATAAAAAGACAAAAAAGGGACAGATACATTAGAGACCGAAGTTTATGAATGGTTACCAGGGGTGGGAAGCAGGGGGGAAATGGGAGGAGGCTATTGTTTTAGTTTAGTAGTAGTTAAGTGCTGTCGAGTTGTTTCTGAGGAGCGACTAGTGAACTTGAACCATTGACCATGTGGTTCAAACTGATTTTGCAGTCCAGAACATTAACCCACAGCACCACAGAAAAATCACATTAAGGGTAGGTTTACGTACATGATTAGTGTAAGTACTGCCAATAAGTTGTACACCTATGAAAAGGTGAGCTGGCAAAAGTTGTGTGATATTTACAAAAAATAAAATAAAAAATTAGCTGCTAAGGCTGCTTTGTTGTTAAGTGCCATGGAGTTGATTCCTACCCGTAGGGACCCTGTATAGAGCAGCAGCTGGTGAGTTTGAACCACTGACTGTGCAATTCATATGGCTTTGCAGTCTGGCTCATTAACCCACAGCACCACACCAGGACTCTGCTTACATACAACCAAACCTCATGGGATTTGGTCATGTTTCATAGGCCATCCCTCTGAAATTGGCTTAATATTGTGTTTGATGCCTCTGTTCTACCTCCTAGCTCAGTGTAGCATTCCTGAAGTCTTATAATGTAGAGACCCAAGAATCCTTCAGAGGGTCAGGACTGGTACCCGCATATGCATGTTTGAACCACTCCCTGCTTCCTGTCATTCATGAATTCCAGAAATAGTTATTGAATCACTGCTAGATACAAGGGGGTACAGGTTAGGGTCTAGCAGGGGAAACAGAAAATTAACACTGACTCAGTTACTGGCATACAGAAGACACCGAAAGAAATGGTGAAAGAACAAATGAATGAAGGATTGAATGCAATAATGTTTGAGAAAAAAAGATTTGTTCAGCCAGCAGTAAGCATGCATGTTCTCCTAACATAATCACCCTTTGCTATAATCTTATTAAATGTTGGTAGATGGTGCTAATGCTTTGAGCTCAACTATTAACGGAAGGTTAATATAGTTGGAGTCCTGGTGTGGCGCTGTAGGTTAACGTGCTGGATTGCAAAGCCAGTTTGAACTGCAGGGTCGGCAGTTCAAGCTCACCAGCTGCTCCTTGGAAACCCTCTACAGGGTCACCTATGGGTCGGAACTGACTCAATGCAGTTATCAACAACATTAACTGAAAGGTTGGTAGTTCAAATCCTCCCAGAGGCACTGTGAAAGGCCAAGTGATCTACTTCTGACAAAGCATCCATTGAAAACCCTATGGAACACAGTTTGACTCTGACACGCATGGGACCGCTATGAGTTGGAATTGAGTAGACAGCAATTGGTTTGATATGGATAGCCAGGCCTTTGTTCCACAGCATCTCTGGGTATATTTCAGTCTTTCAGCTAACAGCTGAGTGCATTAACCATTGGCACCACCCAGGACCCCACTCAAACTGAAAGCAATGGAAAATAACCAGGCTCTCCCTCCCAAGGCTCTGTCCCAGAGCAGAAGCTTGCACCGGGTGCCAGCATATGACAAATGGGGACATGAGACCTGGCAACATGAGTGGACTGTTAGAAGGTGGCCGCCAAGTGTCTCAGCTAAGCTTCAACATACGAGGGCGGGTCAAAAAGTATTGCTACTAGGGTTACGCTTCATACACGCAAGGTTATTCCAAACAAAAACATGTTTAAACATGTCTCTGTGGCCGT